GTTCAGAGAATTGTTGATTTGGAGCTAACCTCAGAGGCTGCATAATTCCAACCCCCCCATTTTAATGATGAAGAAGCTGAGGCTCGGGGAAGGAAAGTGATTTGCCTAAGGTCACCCTGGTAGTAATCATCTAAAGCAGAAGATGATTCTAGGTTTTCTTGACTTTAGAACCTTACCTCTTACCCCTGGGCCGTGCCTCTTAGGTTTACAGAGAAGGAAATAGGTGGAGAGGTTAAATTGCTTTATTCAAGGTTACATAAGTCATAGTGGAGCTGAGATTTGAACTCGGGTCCTTTTCCTCCAGAATGGGTCAGTACCACCCCTGCTTTTGATGACCTGTCCTAGGAAACGTTCCTGGCTTTGCTCTTGGACCGCTACCAAACTGTGAAGTTGGTCAGAGACTTTGTAAGTGTCCATCTCTAAAGCTAAGCTGGTGATTGGGTCATTGGCTAATACGTTGACTTTATAGGCAGCTCTTTCTGGGAGCTCTGGGACTTCCCATTTTCTGCTGGGAAAGAGGAAGCAGGAAGAAACAAAGGGCCTCTCTTGGGGGCCAGGTGTCTGTGGTTTAATAGCATAGTGGGAAGAGCACTGGAGCTGGAGACGAGACCTGGGTTCGAATCCACCCTGATACTGTATGACTGTGGGCCAATCACTTACCTCTCAGCCGGTGTGAACATAAGGGTAATACTATACCACCCATCCCATAGGGTCATTGTGAGGAAATACTTCACACTCCTGAAGCGACTGTTGAAGTGTGAGTTACTAGGACTGTTGATGCCCAGCCCCTGACCCTTACAGACTCTAGGGTCATCCTGCGGGCTGGGGAGCAGCTTTCCCCTTTCCCAGCCTTGGTTGATTTGAAGGACTAGGGAGTATGATATCATGGGAAAGAAAATTGGATTTGGCATCAGAGGACCCGGCTTCAACCAAGTGGCCCTAGCCAAGGTAATGTGTACCCTACAGGTAGGGCAGTAGACTTGGTATCAGAAAGACCTGGGTTCAGATCCTGCCTCAGGCAATTAGTAATGACAGCTGGTATTTCTGTAATGTTTTAAAGTTTGCAAAAACCCCTCAAGTATCAGTCAGTACATCTTAGTCCTGGAGAACAAGGTTGTGTTGGTAATGAGACCACGGAGGGTTGTTGCCAAGTTGAAGAGGCCAGAGTCAAGAGAAGAGTGTGAAAAACTAACGGAAGTTTCCTGCCCTGGGAGGGAGGTTATTATCCCTATTTTGCAGATGAGAAAACTGAGGCATATAGAGGTTAAGTGACTTGTCCAGAATCACACTCCACGTCTAGCCCTTTTATCTACCGAATCATCTAGCTGCTTCTAGGTTTATTAGCTGGGGGACTGAACAAGTCATTTCTATGTGTGCCTCAGTTTCCTCAGCTGTAAACAAAAGGATTTTAGACTGGTCCCAACCAGCTTGAAATAAGAGGTTTTTAATATGGGATCCATTTTAGGGATCTCTGAACTTGTGTGAGAAAGAAATTACATCTTCATTTTTAATGACTTTTAACTGAAATTTAGCATTCCCTTCAGTTATGAATTTAAAAAGCCATTATTTTGAGGAAGGGTCCAGAGGCTGCACCAGACTGACCAGGGATCCATAGGCTATACCAGACCAATCCAGGGGTTCCTAGGCTGCCTCAGACTGACTAAGGGGTCTATTGGCTGCACCAGAACTGACCCAAAGTGTTCAGGACACCAGGTGAAGTTGGTTTGTGTGATCAATTGGAGAACACAGGCTGAAAACGTAGGACCACCTGCTAATATCCCATTGGAACCTCAAGACACTTCTATGAGGTAGGTAGTATATCATCCCCATTTTATTGATGGGGAAACTGATTCATAGAGGGGTAAAAATGACTTAATGTGCATATGGATAGTTTTGAATTTGAAGGCAGGAAGACCGGAATTTGAATCCTGTCTCAGATGCATTAGCTGTGTGGCCCTGGGCAAGTCATTTAACTGCTGTTTGCCTCAGTTTCCCCATTTGTAAAATAAGGATAATAATAGCACCTACCTCCCAGGGTTCTGTGAGCATCTAATGTGGTAGTGGATGTAAAATGCTTTAAAAACCTTAAATCACTATATTAATACCAGCTGCTATTATTATGAATATTACTGTGATCGCTGGAAGAGGTCACCCAATGACAGAACCTTAGGGTTCACAGGACAGCTACTCCAAGCCACGCTTGCACCTTTTCTACACTCTCCGGCAACTGTTGACGTTTGTTTGAAAGTCTCCTGAAGGGCAGACCTTCAGAGGTGGCCCATTCCACAATGGGGCTGCTGTGATTGGTAGGAATCTGCCCCCTTTGCCAAGCGTGTCCCCTCATCAAAACATGCTGAATCCAATGGCCTCGGAGGACCCGTGTTCAAATCCTGACTGTGGCTTGTCAGCTCTGTGACCTCCTCCCTCGTTAAGTCTCCGCATCCAAAAAGAGAAATGGTGGCACTAGACTTGCTGAGGATGGAAGGGCCCTTCCAGCTCCAGTCTGTCAGCTCTCTGGGGCCAAGCTGAGTTAGCGGCATCCTCATTTTGCAGAGGAGGGAACTGAGGCCCAGTGAGATCCAGAATTTGAACCTGTTCCTTTTGCTCCACTAGGAAGCAATGGAACCAGTCCGGGTCTTCTGAATGTATTGGTGTCCCTTCCAAGGCTGGGGAGGAACTTTCTGTGGAAAACAGGAAGGCCTTGAAGCCTGGGGTCGTATGGGGGAGTGCTGATTTGGGGATCCTCTCCTCCCCCAGACCAGGAGGTTCTGGCTTTCTAAAGTTCCTCCTTTCTGGAACTAAAACTGCCCTTTCTTGACCCTACCCTGAGTGTGCCCCACATTCCAAAGTCCCCAGCAAAACTTCCTGCCCGAGGCATCATTTTCTGCTAGAGCTCTAGATTAAGAAACCACATAGAGGCAGAAATGCCTGGCCTGCTAGGCCATGGGAGATGGTCACTATCACTGGGTCAATGTACGGATCTAAGTGAATCTCTAACCGGTAGAATGGGGGTGGGTGGGCTTTTTGGGTAGGCCTCTCCTAGCGGTTCTTCTCTGCTCATGCTGATGCCAGCTTGTCAGCCATCCTCACTTCTTCCTCCTTAGGAAGTCACTGGGTAACAGGAAAGTCACTCGGTCCCCATTTCTGGTCTGCAGAGTTGGCTCATCGCCGGTCCCTTTGCTTCCCTTTTTCCTTGAGAAAAAAGCCAACTGGCAGGTCCCACCCTGTCCCTCCCTTCTTCTCATGTGCTGTTCAGCTCCAGAGGAACTCCATGCTTCCCCCTTGCTCTCCCCATCCTACTTTTTAGTTTCTGCCTACCTAATTCCCTTTGATGGGGGTTGACAACTGCCATTTTTGGGGAGAGAGAGAAAGCTGGTCCTTCTGGGCCCTTTTCAGACATCCTGCCCCATGGCCAAACTGTGAACTTCAGACTGTTTTTGGGGTTCCCTCCTAGTGCCCTCACTGCCCAGGCTCTCCTATTGAGGCACCCCCATTTGACCCCACCCCCCTGGGGCAGTTGCCCCATGTGTCAACATCTTTTCCTACCTTGCTCGGTTTCCCCATTTTACAAATGAAAGGGGTTTGAGCAAAAATTACCTCCAAGGTTCCTTCTATCTACAGTATTCTAACTAAATTGGCATAAGGTCTCTCCCAGGATGATCCTCCCAGTTCTGATGTGTTCTCTTTACCAAGGTCCCTCTAGGCTCTGACATTGAAAGCTCTAAGGCCCCTCCTAGCTCTGACATTCTGTGTTCTAAGGTCCCTTCCTCACCGTTCTCTGTTTCAAGGTCCCCACCAGCCCTGGTATTCTCTGTCCTCTGTGCTTTTCAGTTTGGACAATGACAATGTATAATTTATGTAAAGGACTTTGCAAACTTTCAAGTTAGTCAATCAGTAAAGATGAAGGTCCTTCTAGGTGCCAGGCATTGTGCTAACTGCTGGGGATACAAAGAAAGGCAGTTTCTGCCCTCAAGGAGCTCACATTCTAAACATGCGAACAACTAGAACAAACAAGTTGCAGACAAGACAAATTGGAGATAGTCAATTGAAGGAAGGCACTAGAAATAAGGGGAGTGGGGAAAGGATTCCTGGAGAAGGTGGATTTTAGTGGGGACTTGAAGGAAGCCAGAGGCAGAGATGAGGAGGGAGAGCATTCCTGGCGTGGGGAACAGGCAGTGCAAATACCTGGAGTCGGGAGATGGAGTGCCTTGTTCAAGGAATAAGGAGGGGGCCAGGGTCTGGATCACAGTACTTGGGGTGGGTGGAAGGTGTAAGAAGCCTGGAAATGTTAGTCCTCCCCCTTCCTGGCCAGGCTCTAGGCAATTCCTCAAGACTGATCCGCAGAGAAGGCACTGCCTGGCGTTGGTAAAGGGCGTTTTCTGTCCCCATAAAATCTCAGGTATTTATTATTATTTTATTACCCACCATCACCAAAATGCAGCCTTGTGTTCATCATCTCAGTGGTGCGTGCTTGCTGCCGGGGTTCATCCATGTCAAGGCAATTAGGATCTTCCCTAGCCCAGAGGAGGAAAGCTCTAATGGTGGAATTTCAGGCACCAGGGATAAGCCAGTGGGGAAGGTTTTTGGGTTTTTTTGAGGGGGAGGGGGAGTAGGGCTTCTCTTTTTCACCTGCCCTCCTTCCTTCAGCTTCATGGAGCTGGTAACCCCTTGGATTTGGGTCAGAGCGCTTGGGGTTTAAGCCCCCTCAGTATAGGACGGTCTTGGCTTGGGCTGCGAGGTCTTGGACGCCCCTCCTTGCTCCAAGTCCAAGACTCGCTCCGCCTCCCTTGGCTTCCTTCCTTCCCATTGGTCGGGGCTCCGGGCAGGGGCGGGCACATCGAGAACTACAACTCCCGAAAAGCCTCGGGGCTGGGGCAGCGGCCCCGGTTGCCATGGTTAACGTAAACAACATGGCCGCCCCCAGGAGGGGTTCCAGGCTCGGGCTCAGCAGGCAGCGACGGCCGCTGGGGACGGCAGCTGAACGGCCGGGACTGGGGCTGGGGAAGGAACCGCGACCTGGGCGGGGTAGGAGGGCCGTGAGCGCTCATGGCGGGCGGCGTGGACGAGGAGGTACTGCACCAGCTGTACCTGTGGGTGGACAACATCCCCCTGTCCCGGCCCAAGCGGAACCTCTCGCGGGACTTCAGTGACGGGGGTGAGGCTGGGGGCTCTGGGGTGGGGGCGGGGCAGCATTCCAAGTGGGCGGGGCCGGAGCCGGGCGGGAGCCCCCCAAATATGGGGACCACCCCTCCAGTTGGACCCCAGGAGACTGAGGCGTGAGCCTACCCTTGGAAGGCACCCAAAGACCCCCCTCCTTCCCCAGCTGTTTCCAGCTTCATTTTCTGAGCCCCCACCAGTTCCTTTCCCCATCCCTTTCCCTCCATCATCTTTCTCTCTATCCCTGACCCCCCATCTTTTCCCCCTCCGTCCGCCTTTGTTCATGTCCCTTCTCTTCTCGCTTTCCTATCGTCCGTCCCTGCCCTACATTGCCATCCTTCCTTCTCTGCCATCCCTCTCTCCATCCCTGTCCTCCACCCTTCCCATTTGTCTCTCCCACCCCATCCATTCCCCTGTCCACCTCTCCATGCATCTTCTAATCACCTCTGCCTCCCTGTCCTCTATTCCCCCTCCCCAGATCCTTCTACATCCCTCTAGTCTATGCATCTGCTACCCATTCTACTCTCCATCCTTCTCCCTTCATCCCTGTCCTCCATCTTCCCTTCAGCTCTCTCCCTAACACCCATCCAACTCTCATCCCTTTTTCTTCTCCACCCTTTCCCCATCTCTCCATCTCTCTTCATCTCTGTCTTTGATCCTTCCATCTATCCATCCATCCATCCATCCATCCATCCATCCATCCCTCTCTCTCCCTTACCCCTCAGCCCATCTCCCCTGCAAGATGGCTTCTGGGGTCCCTTCCAGCTATGATCGATGATCTTTGGATTCCTCTTTCCCCATGCCTGTCCTACCATCCCATTTCTCCCTCTTCTCTCTCCTCTGTCCTCCATCCCTCCCATCTCTATTTCCTTCTGACTGGCCCCTTTGTTGTCCTCTTCTGTCTCACATGCTCCCATTTTCGCTGTTCGAGCCTAGTTTCCAAGGGATTGGGAGTGGTGCCCTTGAAAGTGACTCAGACAAGTGAGGGTAGGGGGGAAAGCTTGGGGACCTCCTTTAGCTTTTCACACTCTTCTTCGTCAGTTGACTGTTCTAGAGAGGCTGGGGCAGGGGAAATTCACCTTGTGGGATCCTTCCCTGGGAAGGGAGAGTAGCCATGGTCTGACTCTTGGCCCATTAAGCCTGTGGCCCGACCTAGAAGACGGGGAATGGCCCTGATTAAGCTCTGTAGGTTAGTAGGACATTTCCCGGAAAACAGGGTGAAGTGAAAGCTCGGGGCCAGCAGGTGGCAGTGTCACCTCACTGCCAATCCCCTCAACCAGCCACTGCCATAGCAACACCCCACAAAAAGCTTTGACCAGGGGCAGCTAGGTGGCACAGTCAATAGAGCTCTGGCCTTGGAGTCAGGAGGACCTGAGTTCAAATCCAGCCTCAGGCACTTAACACTTACTAGCTGTGTGACCCTGGGCAAGTCACTTAACCCCATTGCCTAGCTCCAAAAAAAAAAAATCCTTTGACCGTTGTCCTCCACCTTTCTCTTGGTGTGTTGGGGTTGGGGTAGGCAGGAGAGGAGAAGGCTGTTCTCTGGCTGGGAGCCACTGGGTGTCCAGTGACCACCTTGCCTTGCTCTTACTACCCAGCTGGGGAGCCTCAGTTTCTCCATTTGTCAGTCTTGACATTATTTAGAGGAATGAGCTCTATGCCTGCCTGAAAGAGTTGTCCTGATTTTCTCTTCCTCCCACTCCCCTCCTTTCGTCTCCTCAACTCTTCTTTTTCCTCCAACCTTTCCTTTCTTCCTCCTACTTTGTTCTCTCCCTTTGCTCCATCCCCCATCTTCCTCTTCCTCCTTTCTTGTCCCCCCCTACAATCTTTTGCCTTGTTTCTTTTCTCTCTCTTTCTCTTTCTCTCTCTTTCTCTCTCTCTCTCTGTCTCTCTCTGTCTCTCTCTGTCTCTCTCTCAATATCTCTGCCCATTGGCCTTCTGTTGCAGCTCTCTTTTCCCCTCCTCATTTCTGTCCTTTAATCTTCTCCTCTTTCATCCTCCCTCTCTTCCATGGGGTTCCCCTCTGTCTACGTCTCTCTCTTTCACCTGTCCTTGTGTGTCCCCTCCAGTCCTGGCTGCTGAGGTGGTGAAGTTTTACTTCCCCAAGATGGTGGAGATGCATAACTATGTTCCAGCCAATTCTGTACAGCAGAAAATCAACAATTGGATTCACCTGAATAGGTAAGCTTAGCCTTCAGCTGGGAGGAGATTGTGGATGAAGCAGGAATGGGGTCAGAGGAGTTAGGGCTGAGGGGTACCCTCCTCCCTCCTTCTCGAGTGGACATTCTATGACAAAGTTGTCATTCGGGTTTCTCTCAATCTCCCAGGATTCTCTGGTCACTCTCTCCCTGCCACCTCTGGCCTTCCACTGTCTGTTGTTAGAATCTTAGACAAAGTCAACCCATTTGTCTCAGGCAAGCAAAATTGGGAAGGTACTACTGTTTTCTGGGTGAAAAAAAATCAGAGGATGCATTTCAGAGCAAACTGGATTAAAAAAAAATCCATCTGCTGTTTTGGATTATCTGGCCCCCATTAACAGTACAGAGGACCACCATTTGGATTTCAAATTTTTTTGTCTTCACAGCCAAATTAGGGACTGTTTTAGGCCTAACAGTCTGGCTTTTCAGAGTCAGCAGCATAGGGGTAGCGCATAGAGGGCCAGCTTTGGACCAGGAAGACTTGGGATCTGGGTTCAAGTCTTGTCTCTGACATATCCTGGGCAAATCACTTCACCACTCAATGCTTCAGGCAACTCTCCAGGGCCTCACATTTCAGAGGAGTTGCTGATAGATTCCAGGAAGGAGTTTGAGCACTGGAAGTCCCCCACAGGGATTGGATCGAAGTCTATCTGGGCCAAAAAAGAAACAGCCTCATATGTGTTCTAGAGAAGAGTCTATTTTGTTTTAGAAGACTGTGACTCTTTTGGAAGGGTATACTTAAGCAAGTGTCATACCCCCAGAGATTAAAAAGGGACAGGAGATACCATCCTGTTACCTTCTTGTGACCTTGCCTGATGGCAGGAAAACCATCTGCTGATCCCTTTTTCCAATTGAAATTATAAATCATAAGCCACATTTTGCTTTTTATTTCAAGCCTTGTTTCACCCCCTGACAAAAGATGCAGCTGAAGTCTATAGCTTTTTCTTCCCTTCCCCTAGAAGAAACTTCTCTCCTCTGCCTCAATGCCTGGCTTCCCAGAAGTGAAACTAGTTAAGTCATCCAGTTCTATTAAAAAAAAATCTATAAAAATCACCATTTAGTCAACTAATATTGAAGGGCTGTATCTTTTTTTAAATTTAATTTTTGCAATTAACAACCTTTCATTTCCTCTCCCAGCACCTCCCCATGGAGGAAAAAACAAACTAACCAGCTCTCCTAACAAATATGCACAGACAAGCAAAGCACATTCCTGCATTGGCCACGTCCCAAAATGTCTGCCTCATCCTTAATCTTGAGTCCATCATATCTCTCTATAAAGAGAGTGCTTCATCTGGTCATGTTTTACAAGTTGGCACAACACCAGGAGAGAGAGCTAATACACCAAATGAAAGATCTCGCCAGGCTAGAGCATTCTCAATCTAATAAGATGAAATTCAGTAGGGATAATTAGAATGTCTTCCTTTTGGGTTCCAAAAAATCAATCTCACAAGTACTCTCTCACAAGAGAGAGGAACCACAGTCAGGTAGCAGTTTGTCTGAAAAAGAACGGGAGGTCTTAGTGGACTGCAAGATCAATTTGAGTCAACTCTGTTTTGGGATTACAGTGGGATGGGGAATTCCCAGAGAATGAAAGTCCTACTACCAATGCAGGTTAGCACCTCTTCTGCACTTTATAAGGTTAGAGAATTGCCCCGGGCATTGAAAAGCTAAAAGACGTGCTCAGGGATCACACGGCAAGGGCCAGTAAACGTGTCTGAGTCTGGGTTCCAATCCTGGTCTTTCTGGCTTTGAGTCCTGCTCTCTAGCCACCAGGCCACACTGCTTCTCAGTGGGATGTGGCAGCCGAAACAACGAATCTGGTCGTGGACTGTGTTAAGAGCCGTTTCTCTTTGAGGTCTAAGCTGGTGGTCTTTCTGTTCCCTGCTGGGTTAGACCACCCTGGGAGTCATTGTTTAAGAAGGCCACGAATAGCCCGGAGGGCGGTAGAGGGATTGGAGTCTGTGCCACATGAGGGTAAATTCAAGCAACTCCAGATGGTTAGCCTGGAGAATTGGGGGAGGGGGCAGGGAGTAAGAGAGTTTCAGGGATTTGGTAGTCCCTAGAGGGCAGGACCAGAAGCAAAGGGGGAAAGGGATGAAGAAGTCAGTTGAGGCCTGATGTCAGGAAAAGAAAAACTTTGGGATTCAAAAAGTCAGCTTTATAAGTAGAAGGTGGAGGAACCATGATTAGGGAGCAGTTTGTCTGAAAAAGAACTGGGGATCTTAGTGGGCCTCCAACAATGATAACAGTGAGGGTAGCCTAAAAGGAGAAAGGGTTATTTTGGATGCAATGGATTCCTGGTCCATAAAGACCCTCTGCCATAGGCTGGCACACTTGTCTGGTGTGTTGGAGCCGGGGTCCTTCCTTGGGGATGAATTGGACCGGAGAGCTGCTAAAGCCCTAAATGGTGGTTCTGGGTCCCTGGGGCCAGCCCTGTCCTTCCCCAGTGGCCAGTCTGCGTCCCTGTCCTTAGCAAGGCTGGACCTCAGCAGACAGGCGTTGAGCCCACTGGGCTTGGTCCCCTAGACTTGGAGGGTGTCCTCTGCTGGCCACAGGATACTTGAGGCTTTGTGATCTCTCCTATCTTGTTTTTTTTTGTTTTTTGGTGAGGCAATCGGGGTTAAGTGACAACATCTTGGTCTGTTGCAGAAAGGTGTTGCACAAGCTGAATTTCTCCGTCCCTGAGGATGTGATTCAGAAGATTGCCCAGTGCTCCCCGGGAGTGGTGGAACTGGTGTTGATCCCACTGCGGCAGAGGCTGGAGGAAAAAAAGCAAAGAAAACAGGGGGTTGGCTCATCTCAGGTCCATGCCCTGGACCCCATCCTCCCCCCACCCTCCTTCCGGGTTGCGCAAGGCCTCCCTGGCCTTATATGTTGGCAGACTACAGGCTGCCTGTGAAATATGGTTTGAGGGTTAATCCTCTCCCCACTCAAGGAAAACCCCTTGCTTATTTAGGGTGGGGGGCCCAGGGTGTCTGGAGTCAACCTTAGGGTTTCGGGGTGGGGGTGGGGAACGGACTTTGCCTTGTGGTCCTGGTCTCAGTGGGGAGGGAGCCTCCAGGCCCTGAGTCCAAAGGCCCCTGGGCCTGTAACCTGGCCTCCTGGCCACAAGCAAGGATGGGGGAGGGAGGGGTCGTCATGCTCCTCTGCCCAGGGCGACTTGGGTGGGACCCTGTGTATGTTTCCCCACAGGTGCTGAGTCTCCAGGAAGGCAGCAACTACATGGATATGGGTAAGGTCACTTCTCTTGTCATCCTCTCTCTTCTTCCCTAACCTGCGCCTGGGCTGGATCTCTGGGGTCCCCTGATCGCTGGCGTCCCAGCATGGCCCAACACCAGGCCGGGAGGCAGGAGATCTGGATTCTAGTCTTTAGCAGCGTCCTTGACTCCCTGGGCGACCTTGGCCAGGCCACTCGATCCCATGGGACCTCAGTTTGGGTGGGAGAAAGGAGGGATGAAAGAGAGGAATCAGCATGCCTGCATGTGCCCAGGCATTTGCCCTTCCGAGGAGAGGTCACGTCCAGAGGATCTGCCTCACGGAGCCTTCACGCATCCTTTGTCTGTGACGGGCGTGGACAGGACAGGTCCCTATCCTCCCGTGCCTTCATTCTCAGGATGGAAATTCCTCCCCTCTGCCTCACATCCTCTGGGAATCTGGGCTCTGAGGCGAGAGGGGCCAGGGCTCTTGTTTTCAGGGCATCTCTAGTCTGTCTGGGCAGACATGATCCTTACCTTCAGGGATCCCAGGGCTGGTGAGGAATGATAATAATAAATAGCTAACATGTATATAGCACTTACAATGTGCCAGGCACTGTGCTAAGCTCTTTATAGTTATTATATCATTCGATACAACAACCCTGGTAGGGAGGTACAATATTATCCCAGGAAACTGAGGCAGAGGTCAAACGACTGGGTCCAGTGACCAGATATAGATCAGGATGCCTGGAGTTGGCCCAGGATGCAGTGTGTGTGTGTGTACGCGTGCGTGTGTGTGCATGTGTGTGCGTGTGTGTGTGCATGTGTGCGTGTGTGCATGTGTGTGTGTGTGTGCTCTGCACCTCTTCCCCCTCCCCTCACCCCTTCCCAAAAGACCCCTATGGAGAAGAGCCAGCAGACTTCTGTCACGCAGCCTGTTTTTCCTCACACAGGTTTCTCCCAGAAGACCCCAGGGGGTGGCACCGTGGAGCCCCAGAAAGCTGGGCAGCTCAGGTAAAGCCTCCCCCTCCTGTGAGTGGCCACTTGTCTCCAGTGTTCAGGCAGGGCATTGGGGATTTCTGCCCCAGGCTCCCCAGCCTTGCCTCAGTATTCACCTTGACCTCCAGAGATGTCTGGGCTAGGGAGGGATAGAGGTGGCCGAGGGAGAAAGGGGGATATGAAGAGAGGGAAAAGCGCGAGGCGGAAAAGATGGAGAGAATGGGACTAGAAGGAGGAAGCAGGGTGCCGAGGGAAACTGGGAGGGGGAGTGGGGGACGGAAGGGTGCGTGGCTGCCCAATGGCTTTGTCAGGGTGTCACGCATGTGTGTGTCTGAGGGGACGCCTCGGCTCCCCTAGGGGAGGCAAGTTTCTCCCTGCATCTAGCCAGGCCATGCAGGGGGACCCGAGCTTTGTCGTCCAGATGGCTGAGAAGGAGCAAGAGCTGTTGGCCTCCCAGGAGACGGTCCAGGTGAGCAGCTCTGCCCCTCCATCCTGGGGTCCTTGTCATTCATTCATCGGGGGTTTATTTAACACCTAGTGTTTGCAAGGTGCACCAGATAGAAAAGTAGGCAAGGGCAGTCCCTGCCCTCAAGGAGCTTACAGTTTAAGAGGGAGGGGAAATTATGGGGAAAAGACACTTTTGGTCCAGGAGACGGGCCGGCATGATGGGATCTTTCTACTGATCTGGCCAAGTGGTAAGAGAAATTGGAGGGGGGTCGCGGCAACTAACAGGGAAACTAACAGAGGAGGGACTTGAGAGGCCTAAAGTCCCACCAGAAGTTCTCATGTCTCACCTAGTCCTAGTATGTGACTGTGTCAGGTATATATGTGTATATACCACATAACACATGCATACAGGTACACACACACACACACACACACACTCATGTTCATTCCCAGAATTCCTCACCCTGAAGTTGTTTCCATTGGCCCAGCTGTGCCTCACAGCCAGCATCCCATCTCCCATCTCCATGACTTTGCACTGTCTGTCTTCTACACGTGCTCCGTCCTAACCTCTGCCTTTTGGAATCCCCAGCTTCCTTCAAAGCCCAGCTCACGGGCCACCTCCCCCATGAAGCCTTTCCTGACTCCTCCTTCCCCAGCTGCCAGTGCCCTCCCCTCTGAAATTACTCTGGTTTTACTTCACACACACATGTATATGTGCACATACATATACATACACATACTCACACATATATGTATGTGTCCACACACACACACACACACACACACACATATACAAGTTACTTAAATATAGATTGTTTCCTTACCAAGAGATGGTAAACTCCTTGAGAGAAGGGACCTTTATGCTTTTGCCTTTGTTCTCCCAGTGTCTGACACAGAGTAAAAGTTAATAAATGCTTGTCAAATGAATGGATAGATGGATGGATGGATGGA